GGTCTGGGACTTGAACCACACACAGTTAGCCATTTGGAATCCTGCTTCTTAACTACTAGGCTGTGGGCTGACCTGACTTTTATACTTTAAAATTATGTCTATTTATAGAGCTGACAACATATTTTTAGTGCAACTTTTAAGTCTAGAAATATGCTTTTTTTATTTGGAGCTATCTATTTACCTTTCTTTAGTAACTTTGACAGTCTTATTCATTTTTGAAGGAATTTTCTCAAATATCTCTATAAAGCACAATGAGTTAGTTATTTTAACGTTCTCTATGATAGAATAAAATAGAACTATTTTTCTCTCATTCGTAAACTCATAAATAGGAATAAGGTTGCTTCCTGTTAGGAACTTATGCTACGACATGCCTGATAGTCATTAGCTTTAACCAAAGTTGCAACTTAAAACCAGTAAAATATAACTTAATTAACAATAGTCTTTTACGACTTGATATCCTCAGAAGTTTTGATCAAGGTGTCATTGTACTTAAGGTTAAAAAAATATATCAGCAGATACAGTTGTGGAATTGATGGGTGAATAGTTATTCTTAAGCCAATGCAGCATAAGTTCTAAGTTAACATATTTCTATGATTATAAATTTGAAATATGAATCTATAGCATTTGACACAGTAACTGAAATATGAACCCTAAGCTTGCTATGAAAGCCTTTATTTTTTAACAATTTTTTAAAAGCTTACTTATTATAGAAACAGGACCCTCCACAAGATCTCCTTACCACCACAATCTTCTACCTATTCATCTGTCCTCAGCATTCCAGCCAGCAGGATTATGGGCATGCCCAGAATGTTTAGGTCACCCTGGGGTACTAACCTGGGACTCCCCTGTGGCTCCAGGGTACAGAATAGTGTCCTGCAGCAGCAAGGTTGTCTCCTTTTCTTAAAGGTGCTCTGTAGGAAGCTAATATTCCTCCAGGTGCTTCTTGGAAAATAAGGTTCTATGAGCACATTTGGGGGATATGTAAGATTCAGCAAAATAAAGCAAATTGTTATTTTTGTTTGGGCATCAATCTGTCAGAAGTCTTATCTGAGGGCTGAACTCATTTTTGCATGATTCTACATGGAATATATTTGAAAAACCCTGTTATATTCTAAATAATTTACACTGGTGAAACTTAAACTGAAATAAAAATCGTAGCATACCTGGTCTCTGCTATACTGAAAGAAACACTGGTATCTATAGGATCAGATGCTTTTTTAGGAAGGGAAAAGTGCATCCCTACAAGTTTCTCATAAGTTTTACTCTTAGGACACTGTTCCATTAGTCGCTAATACTATAAAGAGAAATCCAAATGGAAGCAAAACTAACTAATTGACTGAGTAAATAAATAAATAAGTAAATAGTTTTCTAGTAGGAACACTAGGAGAAAATAAAAAGGTAGATAAACTAATATAAATAAAATTACAGGTCTTATCCAAGATTTATTATATGATTGGCTTAAAAAACAGCTAGGTGCAAATCAGAATAATTACTCTTTTTATAGGAAGTCAGTCTGGAGGGTGAGAAGTGGAGATTGCGTCTTTTCTAGGTGAATTACTTGTTTCTTTTAAAGAAAGAAAGTCGACATTAGGAAATCTCTATGAGTTTTCAATAGAGATTTCTCCAAAAGGGTTATTGCTGCCAAGTTATTTTTTCAATGTGTCACATTATCTTTGTGTAATTTATAAATGATAACAAAGCAATCAGGCCACATTCATAAAAGCTCAGTGACACATAATTTAGTTGAATCTGAGGATTAGAATTAATTGTCTTTCTTTGTTCCAAGTTCTAAATCTTAGTAAATGATTCACTGCATGTCATTACAGCTTAATATTTGCATGAAATCACAGTTTAGCTGGCATAATTTAACAGCAATTAAAAAGCTATTTAATCGTCATGCAAATTGGTATGAGGGCCCTTGAGTAAGAAGGGTGTCAGCCTTTTCAAAAAAATGGTACCTCCAGGCGGACAGTTATATACTTGTACACACCCAGAACATAATTGACAACATTCTTCCAAGTTATGGAAATATAATTGAATAGTAATTTGTGGATTCTATTATAAATAAGAGAAAATAAGAAACAAAATGAATATGTTATCCTGTGGAAAGACATTCTGTGATAATGATAATGAATCTACCTCCTAGATCTAAGTCTAGGTTGGAGGTAAAAAAAGCTACATTTATGGCATAGTGGTTAAGGGTGCTGGACTCCCACATGGCCAAGCAGTCTGAGTCCCGAACCTGGCGACTTGCCTTCTCACTTCCTCTCTCTCTCTCCCTCTCTCGTCTCTCTTGCTTTGGCCCTCTCTGGTCAAATTAAAATAAATAACAAAATAAAGTTAACTAAAATATTTTTTAAGTTAGATTTGTCTCTGTGCTCTGGTTAATAATATCCTGCATATTTTCCTTTTAAGGCACACTTTTTCAATATTTTAAAAAAAAATTATTCTATTTTATCTGTTATTATTATCTACTTATTTATTTTAATTTGACCAAAGAGAGAAAGAGAAGGTGAAAAAGCAATCCACCAAGTTCAGGATTTGAACCACAGTCAGCCATGTGGGAGTCCAGCACCTTAACCACCACGGCACCTGCTGGCCCCAAGGCACCATTTTATTAAACCCTCTGAACCATGAAATAACATAATGGAAGGTACCCAGAAGCCTTTGAGGAAAACTACTTAAAACATTCCTAGGTCTATCTCCAGTTGGATGAGGTTCCTACCCTACAGGTTGCGACATCAACACCTGAAAAAAAGGAAAATATTTAAGTACATTTCTTAACATCTCAAACATAGTCATGTAGATTTATGACTGATATGATTCTGCTTTAACCTGTGCAAAGATCTCACTAACGTGTTTCTTGTACTCATTTAACCATTTAACCACACTACAGTCAAGATGCTATTTTTTTTTTTGCCAGAGGGCTCATGCACTCACCAGAGAGAGAGAAGAAGAGAGAGAGAGAGAATGGAAGAAAGCACCCCCCCATGGGACAAGGTAGCACTGCAGTCACTTCTCTTCCATCTCTCCATCTTGTTGATATTTGCGGCATGCACGCACATGTACCTGGTGTGTTTGTCAAGCCACAGAGTCATGGACTTCAGTCACCCTCTGACTATACTGGATCTAGCTGCCCTAATCACTAGGCCATGGGCTAGAATGGCTCCCAGAATGCTTTTCAAAGCACATCACTCTCATATATAAAATCTGTCCATTTCTTCCTGTTGCACAGAGAAAAATACGTAGAGTTACTCCGATAAGCCTAGCAGTCTTGCATTATCCAGCCTCTGCCTAGTCCTTAAAATTCACTTCATGCCTTATCCTCCTGCGTTCCACCCATAGTGCTGTTCTGCCAGAACATCAAACATCACTGACTATTTCAAGATCTTTTTAAACTAAGAAACTGTGTACTTTCTACCCCTTTATATTTTTCTCACCCTTCTGCCCATCCTTTGTACCATCTCTGCAAAGCTTTCTCAGAATGTTACCTAAAGCCAGGGTCCTCCTGATAGTTTATTTCCATGCCTGTCCCTTTAATTTTTAAAGTATACTTATTATAATTTGAATTTTATGTCTGTTTATATGTCTGTATGTATTCATCTAGTTATACCACTAAAATATAAATAACAAGAAATCAGGAGTAATGTCTACAACCTTTACCACTCCAAATTCAAGATCTCTCAGAGTATCTGTCATGTAGTAGCCGTTAAATGAAATATTTATTTTCTGAATTAAGCACTGTAGCGTGATATTCAAAAGGAATTCATTTGAACTTGAATTTTGTCCTAGAGGAGAATGTTTGAGAGAAATTAATTGCCACTCTCTGAAGAACATTTTCTTGGTTAAAAAAATTTAGGGAATTTGTTTAGATTTATTTAAATGAAGCCTTCTAAAATGTGGAGGGATCTTGTTTCAACAATCATTCATACAGTCAATTATTTTTGAAAGTATCTACCTTAGATAGTCTTTTACAGGCTTTGGAGTCTGTGGCATTTCCCATGTAACAGTGAGGCACCTAATAGATTTTCAGATAATATTTATTTAATAAACATTATGAAATTGAAATTTGAAGGACTCAGATAAGTGTTAAGGATTATTAACACATTTCATGAAAAGGCTGTAACTAAAGGCTGATAAGTATTCTATGCACTGTGATCTGCATGGACAAAATGGTGAGAAAGAAGCTGATCACCAATTCCTTGGGACCAACTTGGCCACAAGGTGGTCTTGGTAACAAATAAGAGAATTGTATAGGTCTCTTTTAGGGACATACTTACTTTTAAAGACACACCTGTATTTAGTAAAGTTTATCTAAATAAAGTCTAGTTATACCATATCTTGCTATGTATTGCCCTTTCTTCCCCTTTCACTTAACACTTTTATTCTATCACATTGGCAAGGCCTTATGAAAAGTTGTTTGTTACCTAAGTTTCCATTTCCTTTCCTCTTATCCCACGTTGTCTGCCCACTCTCAATTTATGACCATTTATTTTTAGCCTTTGAAAAACAAATATTTAGTGATTTTTTTTCAAGGTAATGGTTGGGTATTTTATCTATGCTCCAGAGTATGAAAACTGGAAGGCTGAGCAGAATGTGTTTTGTGTATGAATTACTATTCTTTTTCAAATTTTGAAAATCATGATAAAATTAATAAGATATAATTAATGACATAATTTCAAATAATTTTTGCTATTTTTTTCAGTCAAAAAATTTAAAAATTATAAATACCTTCTTTTGATGATTTGCTATTTTTTAAGTTAAAGAAGTTATAGAATTCACACATCAAAAAATTATGTTATACACTTGACTCCCTAAAGACTTCTTTCTTACTAGACTTAATCAGATTTTTAAACATATGTTCTTTATAGTTCTCACCAGAAAAAGAACTCATATATAAAAGACAAAACCGTATTTGTTGATAGAATTTTCAATTTAGCTCCATAATTCATTATCCAATACATGTACATTTGTGTTTTTTTTTAATTGCTTTTCTCTAGGGCCACCTTCAGCTCCTAGGAATGTGGTTTTTAACATCAATGAAACAGCCCTTATTTTGGAATGGAGCCCACCAATTGACACAGGAGGCAGAAAAGATCTCACATACAGTGTGATCTGTAAGAAATGTGGCTTAGACACCAGCCAGTGTGAGGACTGTGGTGGAGGACTCCGCTTCATCCCAAGACATACTGGCCTGATCAACAATTCTGTGATAGTACTTGACTTTGTGTCTCACGTGAATTACACCTTTGAAATAGAAGCCATGAATGGAGTTTCTGAGTTGAGTTTTTCTCCCAAGCCATTCACAACTATTACTGTGACCACGGATCAAGATGGTAAGTTTCACTGCTGTTCTCTCAAAGCAGACCCTTAGTTCCTTTTGCCGCATAATACCCCTGGGCCTATATTCGCCTGAGATGTGGAGTAATCGTTTACGCTGTGCACTACACAGGTGATTTTTCTGGTGGTGGTTCTTCTTCTTTACCAAGATGCAGAAAGGTATTTTTGACATTATTTCTTACTAGTATGATTAATAAGATAAAATGCCTCTCACTGATATGTATGTATTTATGTTTCTGATATAATTATATTCCAGTATTTCTTAATGAGTAAGCCTGTATTACTTAACAATGGACAAAAGACATAAATAAAATAATGCAAAATGAATTGAATTTCAATTTCCCCACTTACACTGCCATCCCTTTTCCATGTCAAAGTAGGTAGTAAGAATTTATTTTCATTGTCATTCATATTTAGCTTGTAAAAGCATTTCAGCCAACATGTTTAACTATGATCCACTTGAAAGACAAAGGGAAAAAAAATCAATCCTGAAATGTGTTCAAATGCTATTGTCTATGTGCAGTTTGTGAAAAGTAGTTGAACTGTCTTTTAAAACATCCAATAAATTGAGTTAAATGCTCCCTTTATAACACTATATATTTTTACTGCAAGGTATTCAGGCATGAACACTCCTACAATTTTTTATAATATATATACTCTCTTTAACTCCCCTATAACATAGTTATATCGCATATCATAAGACAGGAAAAGCTTCAGTGATTTAATGAAACTCCGTTGAGAGGTATTCGTAAATTATATGGATAGATAAGTGATTGTCTTATACAACAAAGTATTGTAAATGAGCAAATATACATGAGACAAATTTATAAAGATAAACTATTCTTATGCTCTGTATTAGTTTATTAGGGCAGCCATAAAAGATATCACAGATGCTGTGGCTTAAACAACAGGCATTTATTTTCTCACAGTTACAAAGACTAGAATTACAAAGTCAAGTTGTTTGTAGGATTAATTTCCTTCTGAGTCCTGACTCCTGGCTTGTAAATGGCCATCTTCTCCCAAGTCTTCACATGGACTTTCCTCTTAGTGTCTAATCTCCTAATCTCTTTTTATGGGGATACCAAGCATATTGGATTAGGATTTACTCACATGACCTTCAACTACTTGTTAAAGACCCTATTTCCAAAATAACAACATTCTGAGGTACTAGGGGTTAGAACTTCAAATATGAATTTTGAGAGAGAAGGACACAATTTAACCTATAGCATATGGCAGCATATGGAGATATTTCAAACGATAGGTTGACTGTATTGAAACATTGCTTAGCAATGAAAATGCACAAACTACTGATACCACAGCTGGGATGAACCTCTAAAACACTAAGCTGAGTGAAAAAGCCAACCTTGAAGAAAAGCATATTATTACAGCGATAGAATATCCTTTTTTAAAAAAAAGTTTTAAGTAAAAACTCACCAAGTATTTGATAAACAATTGTCTCCACAGGTTTCATAGTACATTTATATATTAATAATTACAACCATTGTTCATTGGGTAAAACTAGATAACGGAGGAATAGTCCAAAATGTTACAAATAGCTGAGTCTGTCTTTGGAGTGACTTTAAAGAATGTTAAAACCAAGAACTTTGTAAAGCCTATACATCACCAAATCAAGAACATTCTTAAAAGAACATAGTGGACACCAGATTAATAGTTGCAATGGGTTAGGTAGGGATTTGGGGGAGGGCAGTATGACTGTGAAGGCACAGCAGGAAAGAGCCCTATCTGTGGTCATAAGCAGTCATGTATCTTGATTGTAGTGATAGTTAACGTGATAAATTATACAGAGTTACACACAAAAACACACATACACACGAGCCATGTGGACTGTATCAGTGTTCTGAGTTTTCTGTTATATTATACTTATTCAGATAGTTAACATTGGGGAAAGCTGGGGGAAGAATAAATGGGAACTCCTTGTACATTTTTATCTTTTTTGGGTGAAAATTTCTGTGAACCTATAATCAACTCAAAACGCAGTTAAACTGCATCATTACATCTATGATATGTATAGGAAGAAAATTTTAATATTCTACTAAACATATATGAAATGGATGTGAATGGTTTATTCAAAATATTATAAATAAATTTACTTTGCTAGTAATCTTCAGAAATTCTTCCAATAAATAAAGTAAAGCTAAATAATACTGTACAATCATAGTCTTTCTACTTATTATGTAATTTTCCCCTTCATATGGTTCTAAATCACAAAATTTGCTTTATTTTTGGTCAAAATGAATCCTCTTTTTTTTTCTGTTCCTCTTCCTTTCAATATCAATGAAATCAGTATATTCTGAAAAGATAATCTAATAAAGGAATGCTCATCAATAAATTAATGTTTGTTAAAGATTATGAAGAAATGATTATTGCTGATTTTTCTTTGTTTTAAGGATAAATAGTAAAAAGGATTTAAAGTATATTAAATTTTATTTGAGGATTCAGGAAGGACATAAACTGAAATAAAGTATCACTAGATAAAGATACCAGGAAGGCCTTTATGCCCTTATGCCTGAAATTATGAAGTTAGGGAGTCACATCTTTAAAAATAGAAATAATCGGGGACCAGCAGTTAGCGTAATGGCTATGTCGCTGGACTTCCACGTAGTTGACCGCGGTTCGAGTCTCGGACTCGGTGGCTTAAACTCACGCAGTGCGTGCCCAAGATCCCGAGAGGAGAGTGGAGGAGAAGGGATTGCGGCATGGCCATCCCCTCTGGGGGGTGATTTCTCGCTTTCTATCTCTCTGTCTTTCTCTGTCTGTCTGGTGAGTGCACATGCCCTATACCAAAAACCTCTCAAAAAAAAAAAAAAAAAGAAAGAAAGAATCCAGGCCAGGGTAACATTGTGATATTTCAATCTGTGGATATGTCAATTATTTTCTCCTTACCCCAGGATCTAAGATCCTAGTGTTGAATTTAAAAGGAGTTTATAGAAACTGGAGTGTTCCAGACCAAATTTCAACTATTGCCCTTGTATAATAGCCTTAAATAAGATAATTTTACAGCAGTAAACAGAGGAAAAGATTTACTACAACTCCGCTTGGGGTACCTTTGGGAATTCTCTTTCACGTGACTCAACAAGCACTTTCCAAAGTTATCTGATAATACATTACTATTTCTTTGGACTGAGAGGACCACAGTAAAATGTAAACATTTCCTTATCTGTAGGTTACATACCATCGTTTCTGTAATAAAATGCAAAAGTAATGAGTTATTCATAAACTTTCCATTTATTCAACATAGTTTTAATATATTTCTTGTATGTAATACTAAGTCTTTATGAATAATAAAGTCTGATGGAAAAGCAGACTAAATTTTCAGATATGTAATTAGTGCTCTGGTAAGTCCTGTCAAGGAGAAACCCTGCTGCTCAGACAGCATGTATCCTCCAGGTCTGGTAAATAAGAGAGTTTTCCTGGTGCAGCATGAAGTTCTGTTCTGAGGGGTGAGTAGAATGTAATTGGCAAAACGAGGCTTTAAAAAAGGCAAAAACATTCTGTGTAGAAGGGACCAAGTGAAGGATGAGCAACTGAGAAGTTAGGGTTTGATGAGAAGATGGTGTTGGCGATGCTGTATCATGCACACACAGCGCGATTTAGGGGAGGAACAGAAGGGTTCATTTCAAATTTGGAAACATGAGCGAGTGTGTGCAAAATAACTGAACCAAGTTTGGGGATCAGCCACTTATCAGAAGATGCTGGTATTATAAGGGCTCTAA